TTTTACCTATAAGCATGTGATAAGTCATCACTCGAAATTGCAGATAACAATTTTATTAGTGCCGGCACCGGAATTCGAAATACGAAGCCGTCTTTGTTTAAGAAAATTTTGATTACATTTTTGAGATGCATTTGCATTTATTCAGGTACTAAATTACAAACATTTAATACATTATTCGTTCAAATCTCTTTTGACGGTTTGAAGCGGTGACGAAACGAACACAATAGCCCGCAAACTTTCGCATTTATAATATTGGCGCGGTACTAAGCCATTGAATAATGAACTTCGGATGTCCATTACTAGGCAGATAAGATGAGGATCTGGTAATAAATGGGGCGGAAACGATAATCTTCAGATTTAAGTAATCCCCGTCCCGGCCAAGGCAAGGAGAACGCCAACGGAATATTTAATTTCGCCCTCAAAAACGTCCTTAACGACGGCGCAGTGAATTTTTATTAGTTACTTCGGATACGGCCGAGTGCCCGATTCGATACTCCGCGAATGGTGTTTTAATGAAATCACTAAAGAGCCCCGAACTGTATCGGGATTTTTTGAAATGTCCGTCTATTTTCATCTTATTTTGACGGAGACTTGCGAGTTTCAACATATTATGCCAATAAAGTGGATTAAATATTGTGACTGTATTGAATGATGCATGTAATGTGCAGGTAAAACCGTCGCAAGATTTCTCAAAAGAGACACAGACATGACCGTGATACTTTCGCGGGTGAGAATGTCGATGTCTTAGCTCTGTTGCTTGAGTGCCATATTTAATTTTGGTTGATTTTAGTTTCAACAAATTTCACATTTCAACTGTATAGAGTACAATATGCCCATTACGGCATATGTTACATCAAAAAGCTCTAGGTATAAAAGGGCCAAACTGTAATATCAAACAAACTATAATTTCGGCTGGTTGATCTAATTAACAATATATCTGTTAAATTATGGCCATGGAGAATATAATGATTGGCAAGTGTTGTTAATTTATATTAAAAATAAGATTTGTGGTTTTGGGACTTCAACACACAACGATCATGGCCAAATGCTCCTTCTCTTTTTTGAGCTGTGCCAGGGCCACAGAACAGTCATCGGTGTTGCATGAATGGGCAGATCCATCCGGGTAAGTACCACGACTCCCAGAAGATCAACTTGAAGTGGAAGTGTAAAGTTGAAGTTCACCTGATGTCAAGTGATCACCGTCGTTCATGGACATTTGCTACATCCGTAAAGTTGCAGATGAGATGACAGAGTTTAAAGTGGACTATGGTTACCTTACCCACCAAACGAAACGCAGAAGTATTACACTTCCACTTCAGAAGAAGAAGAAGAAACGTTTATTAAAGGTCTAAAAACAAATGAATATATACACAACTTAATAATGTAACTACACAGAAACTTAAAATAAATGTAAACATAAAAAACAAACAAAGTAACAACAGTAAGTAACGGTCTGTGTAGCAGCATAGGACCGTGAAACGGACGGTACTCGGTAAAAGTCGAGATACAGTAACTAGTTCTGATCCCGACACCGGTTTTCAGTCCGGCCCGCACTTCGAGGCAACTCGGAGGGCTGATACTTACCCGGACGAAACTACCCAGAAACAGCCGAAGCTGTTGTGAAGTGAAGTGGCCCACTCTAGATTACCATACGCACGGGTGCACACTTTTACAATATCGCAAAACCATTCGACAAAGTTTTGCACAATGCAAAGTTTCCTCCCGTAATAAGCTGGGCACACTTAATGTCCTAGATTGACTTTTTGTCAAACCACTCCTTTTTCAATAACCTTAGTATCCTTATCCTAATCCTTTTTCAAAAATTGTCATGATAACATGACGTTTTGCACATAAGCACATTTGCTTAAGTTCTTTTTACTTATCTGCTTAGCTTCGGCGGATATTGTCTAATATTTGAAACGTTATTGACGGTTTGAAATCTATTTATCCTTCACCATTTTTAATTCGATTTGGGTACACGAAACAGTTGAAGGCAACTAAACTATATCATGCGTATAATAGGTACGTATATAATTTGTGATATGCAAATAAAAAGTAGAATACATTTTTCCCCAACCTACGCAAACCTTATTTATAGACATTTGGAATCGGAAAAGGTAAACATTTTCGTTAGGTTCGTGGAACGTATATGGCTGTCTACTTATCTGTTCTTTAAATGTTATAATTTGAGATGTATTCTCATAACCATATTTTATCTTACCTTACTTAAGGCACAGAGTCTTTGTATTAGTAGTATAAAGGTAAAGTAACAGTCTATATATGTTTCACTGCTGGGCAAAGCGATATAGGATGTTATGATGTTAACCATGATACCCCATTTTAGATTGGTGGACTTTACAACTCTTCAAAATATACCTTTTTTAATTATTTCAAAAATAATCAGATTTCTTCACTATGCTTTCCTTCACAGCTTAACACGCGATCAGCCTATATATGTCCCACTGTTGGGCAAAGGCCTCCTTTGTACAGAGGGTATCAAGGCATAGTCCACCACGCTGCTCCACTGCGGATTGGACGAGGCTTCGAAAAAAATTTTTTTTAATTATTATTTCGAAAATATGCAGGTTTCCTCACGATGTTTCCCTTCACCGCTGAACACGCGATAATTCAGCACATAAAATTAACAATTTCATTAGTGCCGGCACCGGGGATCGAACTCAAGTTGCTCGAGTATGTTGAATTAAAGGCGAGCGCCCGGACCCTGATCTATCGCGGCTTCTCATAAGTAATGTGACTATTATGAAATCTACCGCGGCGTAGCCCGCTAATGGAACGTCACCGTCGACATCATCAGTAGCGATTTTCTCCCATCCCGATGCCATTTGTCGGATTATCTGTCTTGCGAGCTGCGCGCCATATTGGCGGAATGGATGTCACGTCTGCCCGAAGTTGTCGCCAGCCAACTTTCTTGATTATCCACACGTGGCGCGAATATCGAAATATAGGCTCCCCTTTTGCGCGTTTGGGTATAAATGTACGATGCGAAAAAGTGCCATGATAAAGATAAACAGATCTGTAAGTTATACGAAGCACCTTATGTGTCAGTGCGGTTTGAATGATTATGAGTTTTTTTTTTTAATTTTATGTGACAGTTGTCGTCAGCTAGCGGTTGTTGTTAAGTGAGCTCCGGTCATCATGACACACACACGTGAGGCTTGCTGATGCGTTGATAACCTTATAAAACGTGGGCCTCGTTTACGTCACTCTCCAGACGAGATGCGAAAATCTAATTCTTCCACGTCACGCAGGTCTTTCGCGAGGCCGTGGTACTTCCTTAAACGAGCCTGTCGATTCGTGCAACAGCGTGACCCTACCACACTTAATAATGGAAGACCTCGAGTTTTTTACATATGATTTTAATTTAAGTGTTGTTATATAACTACTGGTTCGTTTAAAATACCTCTATTGCAGTCGTAATATCAATAACATTACGATGTCAAGTAAAATAATTATGTGTAATGTTCCATTTCATCCTTTCGTATTAAAGCTTTAATATTATAATATATCACTTTCTTCCTTAATTTTTGTTATTACGTTAATTTCTTATTCCTAATCTCTATATATGACAACAACTAACAACAAAAAAGCAAGTCATGTCAACTTTTTTTATTTTATATGAGAAGGCGGCAAACGAGCAGACGCTTTACCTGATGTTAAATGATAACCACCGACCATTGACCTTTGCAACCGTAGGGTTGCAGATGCATTGCAACCTTTAAACGAAGTGGACACCGGGTATTTGCGTTTCTTCTGGTGCATTGGAGGTAGCCGGTGTAAAACTTATATTTCGTCTTCTGGGCGGCCGAGGTACTTACCCGGACGGACCTGCCTATTTGTGCAACAGCGAAGACTGTTGCGTGGCTCTACCACAGTTTAACTTTCAAAAAATTATAAAAATAATAAAGTGTTTTAAAATGAACCCCTAATATGTGTTTGCAATTTTATTTACACATTATTATTTCCGATTCATATCACTAGGCATCTCTTGAAGAATCCTTACATTAAAATTTAAAACATAAAAGGAATTAACTTTCTTTGTTGTAATTTTCGCACCAAATTTTTTTCTTAACACCTGGATTCGAAACTGACTTGAAATATATGACAATAAATGTATATATTTTTTAAAATAAAAATCCAATGAATGAGGTACATGCATCTTGACATCCTTATAAGACTGATATTCCCACTTTCATTGTAGTAAGCTAAAGTAATAGCCTAAACATGTCCCATTGTTGGGCAAAGGCCTCTTTTATACAAAGAGTATAAAGGCATAGCCCACCACATGGGCCCACTGCGGATTGGTGGACTTGGCATATATCTTCGAAATATTTTTATATTATTTCGAACATATGCAGGTTGCCTCACGATGTGAAGAAAACAACGCGGAGCACATGATGACTCAGCACTTAAAATTAACAATTTCGTTGTTGCCGGCACAGGGATTGAACTCAGGTATATTGAAGTAAAAGCAAGCAATTGGGCACTAAGCTACCAAGGGTTTCATTCTATAGAACGTTAAAACTTCATCGAAAGTAAAGGTTGCGGTGGAACTAGGTTTATGTGATAGTCGCTCATGTATATATTGATAACATGGACAGTGATGGCAGTAAAGTATACATAGATATATATCAGTCACTTCGCAAAATGAACACAATCCAACATATATTTTATTACGTAGCACTTTTTTCTGCTTATGAAAATCAATTATAATAAGAAACTATAAAAAACTGATAACTGTCTATGTTAATACTTAGATAACACGACGTATTTAATTAAGGGATAAAAATACGTTCTATCACATGGATTTTCATTGTCATTTTATGACTATAAAAGTCATCGGGATTATTTTTTTTGCTTTTGACTACATTTCATTTTTAAATTTTTCATGCTGAAAAATGATTGTTTTATTTTACCTATTTGGCATGCATGTAACACTACATGGCGAACTAGTTACGCTGAGGTGTATAAATAAATGCTTAAAATCTAGTAATGTCGGACTTTATATAATCTATCTCGAGTGACTTCATTGATTTTTTAGATTTTCCAAGTTCCTCCGCTTCACGAACGGTGTCTGGCAGGGAATCGTTCGAAATGTCTGGTACCATAAATGTTACTAGTCCGGCGAATAAAGACGCCAAGCCGAATGTAAGAGATGGTAAGCCGAACCAATATTGCATCTGAAAAATTTAAATTTATTCCATAACATTCTAAGATACAAACTAGATTTAAGGTAATATAAATATTAAAATGTGAAATAGTTCCTTTAAAGTGAATGAAAACTGCTAGTTTTTGTAAGTACGCTGATATCACTGGATCTTAGACATGTGTGCAAATGCAATGAAGGCGCGCACACATTAATTTTGTGTGCAAATGCAATGAACCCGGACGAGACTGCCCATTCGTGCAACACAACCTTTTGAGGGCTGTTGTAAAAAACACGTTTTTATACTTCCATTTACGATCTTCTGTGAGGTCGTGGTATTTACCCGGGAGACTTTTATATACTCATCATTTGCAACTAAAGAAGCTAAGAAGAAGTAAGATGAGATAAAAACTGTAATATAAGACTTTAGCAGAAGAATTTTCAAAGATCTTAGTATAGCTTTAGCACATCGTAACGAAAATTTATAGCTACCTAACGTATTTGCAAATCCTATCTGCATTATAAAATATGTATGATTTTTATTACCAATAAAGGTGTCTGCGGTGAAATGATCGATCCAATTCTTCCCAACGAGGAGCAAAGAGCGTGCATTGAGTTTCTTGTGTAAGTTGGAAACAATTCTGATGTGTACAAGTATGTTATATTAAAGTAGAACGAGGACATCAGTTTTCCCGCCATGTAGAATAGAATTGATAGCCATGGCATACCTGAAAATCGTTTGAAATTAATATCAAGCAAAACAAATTATAGAAAAGTTGGGGTTCTTAGGTGGTAAATTTGACTTACCCAAAGGCACGAATGGCTGGGAAACGCAAAGTATCGCTGCGGCGAAAAAACAGCAAATCAAGGGTAGTTTTCGTTTGCAGTATATAAGTATGTAGGAGACAACGAAAAGACCCGGCACTTCCACAGCAGATAATAGGGCGTAGTTCAAGTACTTGTTGCCTTGCAATGACACAGAATTGATTGTAAGGCCGTAACTGACAAAAGTGGATGTTGTCCACCAAACTAGGCAAACGAAAAATCTTACACGCAATACATTGGAACTGAAAGTGCTTTTGACGGTTTTGAGGAAGTCTTTACTCTCGTTATTCTGGCATGACAGTTTTTCTACAACGTTTCTGTCTAATTTCTGATCGTTCTTCTTCGCAGCCTTCTCCAATATCTTTACGGCTTCATCTTTGTTCCCCTTGATCAATAACCAGCGCGGGCTTTCATCCAGTAGATACTTGTAAAAAAATAATAATAATGCAGGAGTATATATCACTTGTAGAAAGGTCCTCCAATATGGAATGGTCCACGCCGTCAAAGCTATAACTAGCCCTCCAAATGCGTAACCAATGCTGCACATCAGTACAAATTTAATCCTCTGGCTCGTCGATACTACTTCCGTTACTGGAAAAACGATACGGGCCTGTTGAATATAAACTCTATTTCGCATATGAAAATTCATTTCTTTACAAAAACAGAAACATTTGCACTATGATTTCTTTAAGTTTAACTTGAGATTTTCATTACTTGAGATTTACATCATCTCTCACTAGATAAACCTTAAATAACCACGATAGAGCAGTGTCCGGGCGCTCGCATTTAATTTAATTTACTCGAGCAACCTTAGTTCAATTCCGGGTGCTGGCACTAATGAAATTGCTAATATTAAGTGCTGATGTATTGCAAGTTCATTGGTGAAGGAAATATCGTGAGGAAACCTGCATATTTTAAGTCCACGAATCCGCAGGGATCGCGCGGTGGACTATGCCCTAATATTCCCTCTGTACAGGGGAGGCCTACCCACTAGCGGATAATTAAGGCTGTTACTTGAAGACTTATACATATCTTTTTTTTTTAATTAGAGTTAGCTATGACTACACGGTTCTACAGAGATGGCACGATAATGTCAAATGCATAAAACGTTTTCAATGTCCCTTGGCAAGTTGTACTTACTTAAAATGTAGGCTGGTGAGCATGAATCTCCAATGGCCCCTTCTAAGAATTCGAAAGCTAAGTATAGCCAGTACCAATGCGAGAAGCTCCTGGCTACACCAAAGACGCCACCGAGGACCCCAGTCACGACAAGTGTGTTTCTCCTTCCCAATCTAGTGAGTTTCATATAAAATACATAGAAAAATAACATAATATCGTTATGATGTTATGTTTATGGATTACATTGTACTTATAATTTTATATTATACTACCCGTTGTCCGCGACTACGTCTGCGTACACGGGTGAAAATTTAGGGTTCTATGTATTTTTGTATGCTGTATCATAAAAAAATAAAAACAAAAAATTTTGTCCAAAAGTTTAAAAAAAATGGGTGAATAAACAGTAGGTCTGTTTGTTCACCCATTTTTGAATATGCATATAAAATTTGGTAAAAATCAGTAAAGCCGTTTCAGAGGAGTAAGGTAGCCAACATTGTGACAAGAGAATTTTATATATAAGATTAAAAATAAATTTCAATAAATATATACAATACAATAAATATAAAAAAAAATTAGATAATTAAGGTCATTATAAGAAAAATGGCGAGAGAAAATTCCTAGTGTCTAGGACGTTAGTCTTGTGGGCTGAATTCAGGTTTAGAATGCCTGAATTCAGTGGAGTGCAATTTACTTTTACAATTCTCGGAGCATAATTCTCTGTCTGACATTTGTATCCATGTACGGTAGTATTGATCATCATACGACTTATAAGATATCAAATCGTATTTCTGTTAGATCCAATTGGCTAATAGATAATAAATCTGTGCTTTTGCGTTTGAAGATGTGGGTTCGATCCCCACTGCTGCTATTGTCTGATAAACATATGTTTTTCTAGTGCATGGGTGTTTGTTTATCTATAGATAAACATGTGTATTTCTTCAAAAAAAAGGAAATTTTTGTACGAAGTTTATTAATTTTGGATTGGATAACGTTAAATAAAGTTGTGTCAAAATATGTTTCGAAAATTTATGTTTAATATAAATACCCGTTTTAGCATATAAGAAGTATAAAATAATTATGATTAAGACAAAATAAAATCTTACCACACAATAGTTTGGTAGACTAGTAGGATCTTTTAATTTGATTACCGCCGCCATTTGTAACACGTGTAGGGTTGCAGATGTGTTGCCACCTTTTAATAAAGTGGGCATAGCTGTCTGGTGAGTGATCACCAGACGTAACTCAAAATTATAACACTTCCACTTTACGCCGGTCGTGGTACTTTCACGGGCGGTCTTTCTCATTCGCGTAACAGTAAACTGTTGCGTGGCCATACCATAGTTAAACTTATCTCCTAATGAGGGGCAGTTATTGTCGTTAAATTGAAGTTTTAGTTTTAAAGTACCTGTCTGACATGGGGCCCACGATGAGTAATCCGACCATGTAGCCTAAGCTGTGAACGGTACCTATCAGAGTTCTCTTCCATTCTTGGTTTGCGAGCTGAAACTAATACAAAAACAAAATAAGTATCTCTTTATATAATAAGTTTATTTCCTTTTAGTTATACAATTTTGGACTTAGACATGGAGTTAATTAAAAATTTTCAATTTTGATAAATTGCAATACATGATATGGATTTTTGCAACATGTAGAATAAAAATAGTCATTATGCACATCTCAATTACCCTCAAATAACTGAGATTTTATTAAAATGGCAATAGAAGCGTTTAAATAGAATTATTAATCAAGTACTGTCACTACGGTACAGTAGCCTGCAGACTAATTTGGCTCTAGTTTGAATGGGTAGTTAGTGTGTATACAAAAGGCGAACAAAGGGCGGTAGTGATTCGTGTCATTTCGTACCAATACATTTTAATTTACCTACGCAAAGAATTTCTGCGTTTATAACATATAATGAAACTATATTCCGCTTAATATAATTTTTTTTGGGTATATTTTGACAAAATGATGAGCAGATAAAAAGAAAAATGTGTTATTCTAATAAATAAAATGTGACATTTAACGATATAAGAAATGTATATATAAAATAATAAAGTAGCTAATAATTAAAAAAATGAACAAAGAAATAGAGATATGATTAAATAACGTGGAAATTATATATTAACAAATATGCGGTTACATATATTGTAAGATAAATTACCAAAAATAAGTCGAGATTAAGACAAAAAGAGCATCTATGGGTTTATTAGAAAGCGATGTGTAAATAATGACGTTTTATTATTTCTATTCAAACGATATCTTCAACAAGGTTTATATCGACGCTGGTGATATGGAGAAAATATTTAAAAATATTTCTACTCACTTCAGCAACAAAGGAATCAGGATTATCATACTGCCATTCTTCGCAGTCGCTCGTCGAGTTACTATCCGATGAGTATTTTATGCATCTGTAAAAAAGAGTTTTTGGTTTAACTTTAAGTTACTGAGCATAAGTATTTTTTTTGCTTATTTCTGGTTAAAAATCATAAAATGTTATGTCAGGATTTCTTTTCGACAAATGATTAAATTGTATTATTAAAAAATCTTTATCCAGACGACAGATTCTTTAATTATTTAGCTTTATTATTCAGTATTCGCGCCTCATTCAAAAACAAACCTTTAAAACAAAGCAAGAGAATTTCTATAGAATTTCTTCTCTACAATTTAAAATCAATTTGTTTCGTTTCTAGACTATTGACGCGAGAAAAAATTTGGGTGAAAATAAATAGGGCTCTTATTTCTTAAAACTTGTAGAAAATCTCTATTTCTTGTTAATATAAAGTAAAAATAAAATGTAAAGTATTGAGGCCCGAATTGTTTTCACTTAATTTTGTTGTCGAATTAAAAATTTAAAAAAATATTATAAAATTAGGGAATAAACTTGATAGTTTCATTGTCAGTAAAAGAAAAACTCTGTCCACATCACAAAATCTCGTTAAAATATACCAGCTTATAACTTATCTCCAAATCAAAACATCAGTGCCCATCGATAAAACATTTTTTTTTACATCCTTTTGCCATTGGCATTGTAAGTAAGCAAGGCCAGCCGGTTTGTTTGTTTATCAAATCTTACATTTCATACCACCAGTTTTACACTCGTCTTTTTATTTTGCCTTCCCTTGATGTTTTCTTATTTTTTTAGTAGGTACACAACGGACACTAGTAATTTTCCCATCCGTTGGGTCTCCGATGTACGCACACATGGAAACACATTGTTACATTAATGATGTGTGTGACATTTCACACTAATATGAAGGCTCTGTTCCGAAACAGTTTTCTGTAGGTCATACAAATACTGCATCCGTGCTGGAATCAAACACGACAGGAGCTGATATGCTCATTTCTGGACACTCGTTATTTTCCATTTTTTTTCATACGTATGTACTTCCCAATTAGTTTGTTTAAATCACCAGAGTTGGCATTTTTTAATAGTAAAACATGTATGAAAAGATTGTCGCCGCTGTGGGAATCAACCACGGGCATTCGCGGCCTGCCTACACTACCGTAATTTTCCCGATCCGTTGGGTCTCCGATATTTGTACGCAAAGCACATGGAAAGTACATGTTATTTCAACAGTTTCGCGAAAAAGAAAAGTACTAATTTCTATAGCCCAAGAAATTCCATTGACGATTCTTATCAATGAGACACTATCTGTATTAACATTAAGTAGTTCCCTTAAACATAATCTACATTTTAAGCAGCGAACATATAAAGGGCTATCTTATAAGAATTCAGGTCGAGGATTTCGCTTTTAAGTATTCTATTTGGATAATTTAATGTTCTAACATAGTCAAAATGACAAAGGAATATTAGAGTTTTAATTCCTGTTTTAAACATGTGGGTTCAAATTTTTCTGTAAAACCTCTCACGTTTTTGACCAAATTTAAAATGTTTAACTGATTAGGCTGTAACCAAAATAATAAAACGTTTTAAATTTTTATATGTATATATGGCATAACTGCGGCTTGTTAGTATTTGTCTATGTGCTCCGTGAATAATGTAAAATGTCTTCACGTCAAAGAATAATGCAATCCTACAATGACGAAAATGTTTTAAAAGGTTAGATGAAAAAACGCTACAAGTGAAGTTTGTTGAATTTCAACAAAAACAAATTAGAAATACCGATTTAAGACACTCTAATCTCATCAAATTAAAGCTGATGACCATGAGGACGATTTCAAAGCAACAGGGTAATCGTTTTCTTTAAAAAAATAAAGATACATTGTATTAGCAACACAATATATTCAGCGTTATAGGTTTCATTATTACAATGGCCAAGATGAGAGACACCATGAGGTGAATAGCTATCCACCCGTGCAGGCTATTTATTTTACTAAAAACTCACCATATTAAAAATATGAAACATTATTTAAAAATAAATATGTGAGGAGAATATAAAAGCGATCTCTTAATTCAGTAGACAAGCAATCTACTCCGTTGTTATGGTCGTTATTTACAAGTACTTATATTTATTCTTAATGCAGTAAATACACACGCAAAACAAAGTCGTGTGGTCAAGGAAGCAAGGACTGTTTTCCATTGCCGTCACAAGGATCTTCTGGTAGAGTAACGTACAAGCTTGTTGGCTATAATGAACCTTATTAAGGTTTGTATACAAACATTGTCTTATCCGACTTATTCTACACAACGTAGCTATTGTTGGATTAGCTACGCAAAAAGTGCTAAAAATATCAATAAATAAAAAAAGAAACGTAATGTTCATAAATTGTTAGTAACCATAATTACCAATGAATGTATCGATTGAAGAATGATGAAGTATCAACTAACAAACATATTATATTTTTAAGTACATTTTAAGTATATGTATTTCTTTCATAAAATTTAGCTAACCTATACATTAGCGAATAGTTAAAAGTAAATAAAATATATTTTTTTTAAAAAACCCACTTCAAACAGGAAACTAAATAGTAAAATATAAATTTACTTAGCACAAAGTAATTCGTATTTCGATTTAGTTACGCAGAAATGATTAAATAAGTATTTTAAAATAATTAACAACAAAATTTAAAACAGAATGAATATTAAGTAATGCATAAGATATCTTATGTTTTTAGTACTAATGTTAAGTTATCGATATATTTTCTTTTACTTTCATTCTTTTATTCTTTTTTCTGTAAATTTTCACTCGTTATTTGTTTAATCTAGGTGCTAAGAACTGCCCAATAAATATTTTTATGCTCCTCTAGAGCAAAAAACGCGCGACACTTAAGGATATAACATAACATCACGTTGCATTTGTACAACAATGTTTTTTACAAATAAAGTTTATTGTATTGCATTGTATTGTATTTTAGAATCCGCGTTCTTTTGTACAACCGATTCATACTGAACTCGGACGTTAAATGAATTTGATGAAAAGTGTTGAATTAATACCATGTTGGTATCGGTATTGCTTTTTTAGGTTAATGTTAAACAAAACCTGATGGATACAAGGTTCTGTTTTAATCTGTACGACTAAAGTGAATTAATGAAACTGAATAATAGCGCAGCGTTTTGTAAATTCAAAAAATACTTCCATTTTCGAAACACGTTGCCTATAATTTAGAGCAATAGTGTTGTAGAACCGTTTAACATGTTAATTTTTCCATGGCCGACCACTTCATCAGTTGTTATTGAATGTTTAATTTTTGTAGGTTTCACAATTGTTATTTATTGGTATTTGATGACTCCTCGGCGCATTTGCCAAGGTATTGGCTTCGGCGTTGGGGGTCGTATGTTCAATTCCCACACGGGACAACTATTTGTGCGATCCACAGACAGTTGTTTCGTATCTGGGTGTTTGTCCGCGTGAAATTTATGTTTTTAAAACGTTCTTACAACTCAGGAAAATGTTATCCAAAGTAACGTTTTTTTTAAGAAACAATTGATAGCCAGTAGTAGTGCATTCATTATACTCTTTTAGTCTTTCGTCTGCAATGGATCTAAATATATATATATATGTATTTTTTTTTAAATTCAAAACTGGTCTGCACTTGACTGTCACCCCACCTGATAGTAAATGGTGATGCAGCCTTTGATAGTAAGCACGCTAGCTCAGTAAAAACCTATTCACTCTTGTCTTGAGGACGCCTACGTTGTAATTGGACGGAAAGACTGACGCCGGACATTTCACAAACTATTAAACAAGATAAGTTTGGCCTACAACAGTTACAAAAGATTTAAGAGTTCTTTAATTTACATTATGATTTAATATAAAAACATTGTAACTTTTATAATTTTCCTTTCGATTCGATCTTTGGAATAGGCCTTTCATCAAAGTAAAGTAAACGTAAAGTAACAGCCTATACATGTCCCATTGCTGAGCAAAGCTCTTCTATGTACAGAGGGTATTAGGGCATAGCCCCACCGCGAATTATCTTAGAAATAGTTTACTTGTTATTAATTAGGAAACATGCAGGTTTCCTCACGATATTTTCCCTCACTGCTGAAAGTCAGTACTTAAAATTAATAATACAGAGCTGAGATTGCTCGAAAACTATAAATTAAAAGTAAGCGCCTGCCTTTTAGCTAAATGTTTATTTTCTAGATGTTTAGTGTATTGACAATGATAGAGAATATGGCCACAATTACTCGAATCCACTGTTTATTTGAGAATCCGTTCAATTTGAAAATATTTGGTCCATAAATAACTAACAATTTCATAATATTTTTCATGTTTGTAAGAAAAATATTTTTTTTTTGATAAAGTTGCAAACGAGTTGGCGGTTCACCTGATGTTAAATGATAACCACAGCCCATGGACATTTGCCCCCCGTAGGGTTGTAGATGCGTTGCCACCTGTTAATAACTTGGGCCCCGGCTAGCTACCTCACTCACCAGACGAAACGCAGAAGTGTAATACTTCTACTTCTCGCCGGTCTTCTGTGAGACCGTCGTACTCATAGACTTAGCATCTAAATCTATAAAAGTAAAAAGTAAAGTAACAGCCTATACATGTCCCACTGCTGGGCAAAGGCCTCCTCTATACAGAGGGTATCAGGGCATAGTCCACCACGCGGCCCCACTGCAGATTGGCGGACTTCACATATTTACGAAATATATTATTTCGAAAATATGCAGGTTTCCTCACGATGTTTTCCTTCACCGCGGAGCACGTGATAAGTCAGCACTTAAAGTTAAAAACTCCATTGGTGCCGGCACCGGGGATCGAACTCAGGTTGCTCGAGTATATTGAATTAAAGGCGAGCGCCCGGACACTGAGCTATCACGGCTCCTTATCTAAATCTATGGTACATTCTAAATCTGAAGGACGGAACAGCCCATTCGTGCGACAGCGAACACTGTTGCGTGGTCCTACCACAGGGGATTACTTCAACAAAAATATTACAAGTATAACGATTGCACGACAATAATCGATTAATGTTTACTCTAATTTTATCTACAAATATTGAGATTAATATATAAATACAAACATGTTCATAAATAAAGTACATAAGCTACTTAGGGATAATGCGGAATATAATTAACAATTTTCTTCTACACAGTATCAGAAATTACAAATCCAAAAAATACTTATAATGGTGGTTAACTTACGTATAATTCACGCTCTCGGCAACGAAAATGAAATTTGAACAATACACAGTGTTGGATGCGAACGCTAAGAATATCAAAATGGCAATCCGCAAATGATAACTTTTGTATATGCTGAGCTTGTCCAAGACATCTTCCAAGTCGGTTGACTTTTCCTCAGCTGGCTTCACCAAAGTCATCTTCTGGTCGGTTGTTTATCTTTTGAATTACCGAAGCATGTTTTTATTTTCCTCTCTTCGAACTTATTTTACTGTTATTAATTATTGTTTCGATGTCTTTTCACTTTTCTAGTGGGAGTTTAACTTTTTTTTACTGCGAACCACTTATGCGTGTGAAAGTCAAGTGCATTGGAACACGAATAACCACGTTCACTCCGCAGTTTGAGCGGCTCGAATGGGAATTGGTGTTCCATATTGAATCGTATTGCATACGCAACTGAGTGCAAAATACACTGGCTTTCAAACTGTATTGTAATTTAACCAAAGGCTATTGTGTTTTGTGTAACAAATTGGGTAGACGTCTTGTAAAGACCGAATTAAGGCCTTTGAATATTTTTATATGTGATTAAGATTTCAAGGTGTTCTCTCTCCAAATGTTGTTAAGAGCGGGGGAAATTAAATTCTTTCGTACATGAGTCTTAGATTAAACAAAACAGTCAACCAAAAAATATTCCATTTTAACGGTGAGATAGAGGACCATAAGAGAAAACATGTAGAACAGTTATGGATGCACTAAACGTTTATTTTAATAATAAGCAGAATTTTTATGGCTTTACATACACATTTTAAAGGAAAATTATTTAATTAAATTCAAACACACTCTCAAAATCACATAGAAGGACAAGTTCAAAAAAAGTCCACAGAAACTGGTTTGATTTTTATTAAAGATACATTAGCCCCAAATATGAAAGCAGTTTTTAAGAAACAAATAAAGAATGTCTCATAATTTGTTGCGAAAAGATGTATATATTGCTTTAAATGAAAGAAGGCTGATGTCCAACAATGATCATTTTGGGTTAGATTAAATTAGGTTAAATTACTATGAACATTATTGAGTGGAACGTTTCTTTTATATCAATAACCCAATCGATTACACTATAAATGTTTAAATTTTAGTATCAACTTAAAAAAAAAACATGTTAAATGAAACTGCTTTACGGATTTTATCGCGTTTTTTATTTTAATTTTAAATTCCCGACGTTTCGAACCCTTTCCAGCGTTCATGGTCACGGGACAGACTAAGTTGTTGAGTCAGTTAAGTTGAGTCTGGACGTCAATTCGATAATACCTTCTTGTGCAAAACCCCCAAAATTGTATGGGTTACCTAAAATTCACAAAACCAATGCTCCATTACGCCCAATTGTCACCAACTTATAGACTGGCCCACAACATCTTGCCTCTCACCACTCAGAGGACATACTAGGTACACTAAAGATTCATATGCATTAACTGCAAAACATCTTGGTGATTAGCATTGCCTCACATCTGGCTATCTATTGTGGAAGGGAGAATTGCATTAATGCTACATTGCACATCTGGCTATCTATTGTGGAAGGAAGAATTCTACATTTGGATGGTGTAGCAATGGGCTGCCCAGTATCTCCCATTGTCGCAGACATATTTATGGAAGACTTTGAGGAGAAGGCCCTTCAAACAGCACCCGTTCAACCTAGATTTTACAAGCGGTATGTAGATGATACTTTCACAATTTTACCATCAGACAAAGTAAATGCATTTCTAAACCACCTCAATTCCTTACACACTAAAATTACATTCACTATGGAATTAGAGACATGTAACTCCTTAGCCTTTCTAGATGTATTAGTCATCCGAAATCTTGACAACACCTTGAGCCATACTGTGTATAGAAAGGAGACCCATACAAATAAATATTTAAATGGTGACTCTCACCACCACCCTTCACAGTTAGCTACTGTTGGTAAATGTTTGTTACAGAGAGCACGAGGGATCTGTGACAAGGAACACATCTGGCCACTGAGCTACATAATGTCAAGCAAGTGCTGCGTGACAACAAGCTCCAAATCCCGCGCCTGCGTCACAGTGACCGAGTGAAACCAGCCACAGTCGAGCGAGTGCCTGCCGTATTGCCATATGTCAGAGGAGTCACTGACAAGATGGCTATATCTTGAAGCGTGCTTCAATCAAAACATATTTCAAGCCACCGAAGAAGATAAGTCAATTTTTACCATCTGTCAAGTGTAATATCCTACTACAAGATCCAGGAGTGTACAACCTTGACTGCGATTGTGGGCTCTCTTACATAGGACAAACAAAACGATCAATTAAAACCAGAATTAAAGAACACATGGCTGACGTGAAGCACCGACGGTTGAAGAAGTCTGCAGTTTGTGATCATATTTTAGATCGCCCCAACTACTACATTAGATTTGATCAACCGAAAATCCTCGCAAAAGAACACCTATTCCTTCCAAGGATGATCCGCGAGGCTATTGAAATAAAGAAACATCCTAATTTCAATAGAGAAGATGGTTGGAGTTAATCATCTGCTTGGGATCCCATAATTTATAAAATTAAATCCAAGCACATCAACACTGCCAGACCTCAAGATACTATAAGCTCCTTCTGCGTGGATCGGAACAAAAATAAACAAAATAATTGACGGTAGCCGGGGTTAACTATGACATCAAGACGTCTAACAACTTAGTATGTCCCGTGACCATGAACGCTGGAAAGGGTTCGAAACGTCGGGAATTTAAAATTAAAATAAAAAACGCGATAAAATCCGTAAAGTAGTTTCATTTAATATGTATAATATTCGCGTAAAATCAAGAAAACAATATTAAAAAAAATAAACTGAAAAAATTAAACTAACTCGAAATGTAGATACTTAACTACTGGCCGTTTTTAGCCGTTATTACGTCTATGAAGACGAATAACATTTTTTTTGTTAATCATTTGGTAATATAAAAATGATCCAAATATTGTGACATTTTCGTCAACGCCGTAATTTAGTAAACACGAGCGGTTGTTGGTTACCAAGCTGTTCGACCTTTGTGATGGTCACACGTTCGATTATCCATTTCCTTCTTCCCTTCTTCGTACACATCGCTAAACGACCTACCCAATCACCTTGACCAGGGCCGCTCTTGTAGTCGGAATAGTTTCGCAAATCAAAACGATATTTGTATGATACATTTTAAATCCAAACGGATTTGGCAAAGATCCTTTCTGTTTATGAGAAATCTGTCGCTATGCACAAATGTGCATAGTGACAGATTTCTCCAGTTTTCTTTCAGCGTAAAGTGGAAGTATGACAAATACTTTCGCGTTTCATCTGTGGAAGTAAAACTCTTCTACTTCTCGCCGGTCTTCTGTGAGTACTTCCTTCTCTTCGTGGTAGTTCCCCGGACGGACCTGCCCATTCGTGCCACAGCGTAGACTGTTTCGTGTTCCTACCACACCTTAAGACTGTGGAGGAAGATCTTGTAATTGAAACGCTTTCATAAATCTCTTGCTTGCCACCTTCTCATATAAAAAAAGAGGCAAATAGTCGAGCATTTTGGGTTTCAAGCCCGCTTCGTGAGATAGTCAAGTACATTATTCCAGCCACTGAACAATCATGTTTTCGGAAGAAATAAATTATTTGACTCTTTAAAACAGATGATATGAGAGTTGGTAGTGATTAAAATAAAATATTCATCGAGTTTCTTTAATCGTCCCATTGTAACGCCAACATTTGTTTTGGAAACAGTTAGACGTGACTTGAAACGACAAAAGAAATATGATAACACTCGGCTAATGCGTCTATTCATCGAACGTGTCTTATAAACAGTTCGTGCCAATCGTTTAATTGCTCTTTTATTTTACACCTTCTGCATAAAACTGCAAGTGACGCAACATTAACTGTAGCAGCTCACTACTCGAGCACTCGTCTTTCAATCCATACTTTAAACTAAAAACAAACACAACATTATAAATGTGAATGTAAGTTTGTTTGTTACATTTTCACGCCAAAACCACTCAACCGATTATAATGAAACTTTGTAGTATTAGTATTGAAGTATTTAAAGTACATAGGATTCTTTTTATTTAAAATAAGTATTTGTTTAAGGACTTGAACGCGGGCGGAGCCGCGAGCGAAAAGCTATTAAGTTACGTGAGCGCTAATGTCTATTTTCATGAATTAATTATGCGTGGGTTTTTGAATAATTTTGTTGAGTCTCTTAACCTTTAACCAATTTTATATTATTAAAACATGTAGAAAAAGTACGAAAAGATTGTCGCCGCTGTGGGAATCGAACCCACGTCTTCGGCATTCGCGGCCTGACGCTCTAGCCACTGAGCTAAACGGCTGATAGCCACAGCGACGAAAATCTTAACGCCTTCTTTCTACATTGTTATTTAGCATTTGAAGCAATGCTTGGCGAATCTATTGTTATATCCTTTCCAGCATACAATTTTATATTCTCATAAATCATCTTCAGTTGGATACGTTGCTGGTTTACTGCCATCTGTCATCGTAGTAGTCGCTCTAAATTGGCTGCGTAACTCGACTGGCTATTTTAATCACGAGTATTTAACCACTACAGCTGGTTTCAATATCCTATCTACAATTGAATTTGGTAACTAATTTAACATTAGCTCCATAATACTTACGTTAAAATTCTATCCCCAGTAACCAACCTAGGTTAGGTTGAAACCGGACATTAACTACTACTGCCTGCTAAATGGAGATAAAAACTATTCGAAGCACTGACTACTGTCAAAATCTGTAAATATTCACAGAACTAATTTGAAATGTTCAGTTTCGACGAAGCGTATTAAATAAACCTTTATCATTACAACAAATTTGATGAATGTTATTAAAATAATGACGTGGTTGAAACAGCAGTGGCAGTCTGTGGGGGAGGCTTAAGTTCAGCAGTGGGCTCAAACAGGCTGAAATTATGATGATGGTGATGATGAACTAGGCAGTGCCTGTATCTTGGTAGCCGAACTGGTCATAAACTTCGAGCCTGCGTCTAGGGTAGAACGCCCAGCTTTATCAATTAAGCTAAGCGGCCGATGACCTCGAGGTGCGAATACCTTGATATACCAACCTACCTACCAACGGTAACACTAAAAAAAGGTAGGAACGAAGTTCCTTCGGCTAATGTAGAATCGACACAAATTGCAAAAAAAATGGTGCTTAATTTTAT